TCCCCCCCCCCCCCCCCGCACCTCCTGCCGCCCCAGCCCTGGGCTCTCCCCCAAAGAACGAATTGGGTGGACTAAATGGACAGTGCACCTCTCTATCTGAAGCCTAGCAAGGGAGATCCCACTAGAATTTAAAATGAAAAGTAAGGGAGGGGAAGCTCTACTAGGACCTGGGCAGCTTTAGATACAGTACCAGGCACATAGGAGGATTTACACTTCTGAGCCATGGAAGCAGAAATTGACTTTTCTTTTCCAGATTTAGCTAATATTCAGAAAGGGAATCTAGCACCTGCCTTCCAGATTTGAACACCCTCAAAATTCAGGAGCGCTCAAGCTCAATTTGGGCAGCTGTTACTTCATTTCCCCCAAATCAAATATACTGATCCACTGTAACTTGCTGTAGAAAAAGTAGAATAAATTGAGCAAGAAATGCTTCCCAGTGGTTATTAGGACTGGAATTGCTATTTTCAACAGCCATTTTTTTTTTTTTTTTTTTAGTTTTAGTTGTTTAAAAGGAAGACAGTAATATTGCATTGGCAAATTCCCCATAGAAACAAAGAATGGAACAAAAGAATAATAAAGGCACCTCAACTTTTCCTCATTTATGTAGGACAGTCTTATAATATGCATCCAGATATCCTTCAATCACACAAGCTGAAAATTGTTCCACTTTACTGCAGTTCTGTAACCATATGGGAACCAATCCTGTCTGTGTTCTGTGCACATCCAAAATTCCTGCTGAATGATCCGCCCTGGGAGCGAGTTACCAGTGACCCAGGGCTGGGGCGGCAGGAGGGTGCAGTTGTGTTGGAGGGAGGGGGGAGAGAGAGCCCAGAGCTGGGGGGAGCGGGGGGGCAGCCAAAAAATTTTTTGCTTGGGGCAGCAAAAAACCTAGAGCCGGCCCTGCCTGGAGGGACAGAATTGCAGGGTCTGGGCATACACCAGACCCGCTGAGGTACTCACAGCAGGCTGAACCAGCTCCTGCTCTGAGAATGGCAGGATTGCCTGACCCCATCCTGAGAGGTGACGGCCAGAGCCCCCGCGGGGTGCTCTTTCAGAGACACCAGGAGGGCTCAGAGGTGCAGTCCACCTGATAACCGGGACAGGCACTACAGTTAAGGTAAGAGCTGAACAGACCTGCAGTTGAGGCTGTCATGCAGGAGAAAGAAATTCGGGCCCTGATCCCACACTGAGTGCTGTGCGGGCAGACCCCTGAGCCCATGCAGAGTTCACTGCAAAATGAGGGCCTTGGCACATGGGGCTGGGTCACACATTATAGACTGGCTGCAATTCACGGAGACTCCTCCTCCATGAGCCAGCTGAACGCCCAACGCTGCCGAGTTCGGAGCCTGCCTAGCCCTGTGCACTGCAAGAACCATCTATCTTCAGTTGCTTATAACTTTGCTAAACCATAACCTTGGGGGCTGAAATGTGCCATGTTTTGGCTGCGCTGCAGCTTTCCATTTATTGCGGATACATCTGATTTTGCAGTGGCTCTGCCGGTTTTGAGAAGTGAGATACAGGAGTAGGCAGGAAGCAGCACTGTCAGTGTTTACAAAGGTTATCTGCAACCTTTCCTCAGACACCTCTTGCAGCTCAGGGATTTGGAGCAGGAAGCTAGAAACCTGGCAGGGTAGGAGGACAGGTCTGGGATCAGAGCCACCCGGGCCTTTTGCTGCTCCAGGAAAGTCTGTCCAGACCTGGCCAAATTACAAGCCACAGAAAAGTGTGTTTGTGTGTGTGGTCCCTAATCCCAGGGGGGGCCCTGTTTGGTGCCAGATGATAAGTGTAAGGACATTGCAGGTTGATGGCAGGGTCGGGATGGAAATGGAGGTGCCCTTGGGTCAGAGTCACTCTAGACCCATTAGCAGCTCAGATTCCCTCCACTCAGACTTGAGTGGGTCTGTCTGAGCTGCTGGCAAAGAGAAGAGAAATCCAAGCCCCCCTTGGGAGGGGAGGGAGGAGGGCACAGAGGGCTCCTGAGGAGAAACTGCTGCTATCCATGGGACTCAGCCTTCTTCCTTTTCTGCACCACTGCATTAACCCCTTCTGGCAGCACGCCCCACGGCAGATCTGCATGGTGAGCTCTGCTCCTTCCTCATTTGGGGGGCCCTACTCAGATGCTATGCGAGCATTAACACAGAGCATGGTGCTGGCCCAACCCCCCAGCGGGATGCGTATGTCCAAGGCAGTAGAGCCCAGTGGAGGTCTATGTGTCCCGGTGAGCGGAGCCAATGCACCTGGCAGCGTGAGGCTGGGCTTGTGGCCCGGCTTTGGTACAGAACCAAATACTGCACCAGAAAAACCTTTCTGCAGGAGGAATCCTCCAAGCAAAACATGGCAGACTCCAGGCGGAGCTACCAGTGACCTGATGTCCCAGGACAGAGAGACACACGGGATTCACAAACTTCCTGCCTGTCTGCGTATTCCTTTAACAAGCCCTGTGCCCCCGGGGCTGGGTGGGGTCACTGAGTGGGCAGTGGAAGGCGATGGGGTCTATTACGGCTGGAAGGGCAGCAGCTCCTGCTGGCGCTCAGGTTTCCTGCCTCGGACAGGCCAGTCACTCCACCAATAAGTGGTGAGTTATGGGATGGGAAGAATGAATACACTTGGGGGATGGATTACTTGGGGGCAGTGAGGATTGGACAGTTGGGGACACAGGGGAATCCCCCATCCCCAATTTACGGGGGGGGGGGACACACACAGAGCTGCTGCCTCCTCCATGGAAAGAGCTGGGGAGATCCCCCAGCCATGCCCTACTCCCCAGTGGAGAGAGAGGTCAGTAGATGCTGGGGGAGTGGGGCTGCTGTTCCCCCCTGGAGACTGCAGGGTGCAGGACAGATAAATCTCAAGCCACTGGCCTCCCCGCAAGAACGGCACACCCCTTCATGCAGCCTCGCTCTGCATCTCCACTGCAGAAAGACAGACTGCTACCCAGAGCAATATCTGAGACCCAGCACTAGAGACAGCAGCAACCTGCATGGAACTGGGAGGGCAGAGCCCGAGTTGCAGGAGGGAAGGGTTAGGAGGAA